GCCAGAACCTGGACGAGCAGACGCCAGAGCTTGTGAATTTCACCTCTGTGCCCGGAAGTCATATTCTTTCACGTGGTACAGCAGCCCCTAGTATCTCCACAAGTGCACCCACTGAACACTCTGGGGTCCCTGAGAGCAGCTCACTTGGGGCCTGGAGAGTGATTTCAGATATGAAGGGCCTGTGCTGGACAGAAATGTGCAGAGTATATTTGATGGAGGGCCACTTCCGCCCATCCACTGGCATCAAGTCAGTTTCTGACTGATAGCCACCGTAGGGTTTTTAAGGCTGAAAATCTTTATCGGAGGAAACAGCCTCTTCTTTCTCCTATAGAGCAGCTGGTGGGTTTGATCTGCTGACTTTACCGTTAGCAGTGCAATGCTTACCAGAGAACATCATGTAGCTGAGGACAAAGTAGAAGGAATGCCAGCGGTAGCAGGGAAGATAAGTCATACTAGAACTTGGACGGAGCTAGGTCCGGACTGCTGCCAGGGATGCGTGCCGGGAGAGGCCGGCTCCCAGGTTGTGTCGGGGGAAAGCGATGGAAAGTGAGATGAGGGAAGTACTGACATTCTTTGCTCAAGAACCTCAAGCGATGCTGGGAGGAAACCTGTTCTAGGGAACTTCATGATGATTCACCAAAAGCCGGTTGGGGTATGGAGATCATGGTGAGGGACGGAGACGGTCGCACAGAATTCATGGAGGTTGCCTCTGGGCCCTAGAAGAGTAAATAAGGAGCAGTGAAGAGACAAGACGGTCTTCGGGGCAAATGTTGTACCTGTCCCTTACAGTGTGACCTAGGGAAAGTTGTTTAACTTATCTGAGCCTTGCTTTCCACGTTACTAAGTGGAATCATTTCGAGATATTCTGAAAATGCATGTGAAGCATTCAGAGCAGGGCCTGGCAGAGAGCCGGTACTCAGTGTATGATCCGTGTTATTAACGGTGTAATGGATTTCTTAAAAAATAATCTTGAATTTTGTAAAGTAATTTCTTTCTAAACCCCAACTAGAAAAAAGAAAAGAAATCACTCGCGCCAGCCGTACCAGTTGAATCCAAGCCGAGTAAGCCGCCCGCCAAGGTATGACGCTAGCAGTTCATTTCCTGAGAACGTCTATTGTCTGTTGTGTTTGTTATCATCTGAGTTCTTGTGGACAGAGAGTCTGATGGGCTAACGCAAAGAACTACTGTTTCAAGCTAATAAGATTGGAAATAAAGTGTCCATGCGTTTCCAAGCAAGTCGTTTCCTCACATGCTAGGTGTAACATTTTACACCAGTCAGAAAGTTCATGGGAAAAAAATCCCATTTTCCACAAACCTTTTGCAGGCCCCTGGTATTATAAATTTTTGTGTGTATACCAGTTTCCATGCCAGTTTCTCTAGTGAACGTACACCTTTAATGAGAGGCTAACAAGAGTAGGCAACTCTAGTTCCGAAACTCAGGAAAGAATCAGCCCTTCCTCAGGCTGGTGTTTTTCCTGTAGATGCAGATGACTGCTCAGAATGATTCCTTCTGACCTGCAGACACAGAAGGAGGGCTCTCTCTCTCTGCCAGTCAGTGTATGGATTTAAGGCCATCTTACAGAGTAGACTGTCACCCCCTTCTCCTGAACTTGACCTCTTTTCCGGGTAATTTTTGGTTTGTGAACATTTTTAGGCAAGTGAGCCCAAGAACACCAGTGAGTGGAAGGACCCAAGACAAAGCCCTTTGAAATCCATCCTCTCTGGAGGAGCGGTTTTCTAGAGCCCTGTGGGGCTTTTGTTGGGCTTCTCTGTCCATGACTCTGGGAAAGGACTGATAAACAGTAACTGCCAGCTGTCTCTCTTATACTGCCTGCAGCAGGGGCATAATTCTTTTGTGGTTTTGTGTTTGACTGGTTTGGGTTTGGGTTTGGTTTTTTTTTTTTTACTGTGAGGCTGTTGGGCCTGTAGCTTTAACCAACACCTAGTTGTAGTCTTATCACTAATATCTATAAGCATCATTGAATGGCGATTTTTACGTGAATGATGGTTTTGGTCCTTCCAACCTAGAAACAGTTCTCTGGGATTTTAAATCATAACATCTGTTGGAAACTAGATTTTATTTTGTTTTAGAAGAGCTTCTGGCAGTTGGTATTTTCTGTGTGGCATGGTTCATTTTCTAAAACCCCAGCATGGAATCTATATAACATATATATATATATGCCTCTGTCTTTTCCAGTCAGGCATGGATGCCGCATTGGATGACTTAATAGACACTTTGGGCGAGCCTGAAGAAACTGAAGAGAATAATACTATCTACACTGGACCAGAAGTTTCGGTATGCGATCTTGAAGTCTGTGAAGAGTCACCTATAATGGGCAGGAGCGTTAAGTGTAAGAGTGTGCCCACTGTTGTGTCTGTGGGACACAAACAGGTTGATATCAACATCAGTGTTTCAAGAAATTCACTGCCATCGAGTTGATTCCAACTCATGGCGACCCAGGCTTCAAAGCGGTCACACACCGGACTACTAATCTTTGACATCAGCAGTTCAAACCCACCCATGGCTCTGCTGAAAAAAGACCAGGCCATCTATCTCTGCAAAACTCTATAGCCTTGGAAAACTGCAGGGCAGTTCTGCTCTGTCCTGTAGGACCAGCATCAATAATAGCAACTAAAACTTAGTTTGGGCAGTGGGAATAGTGTGCTGTAGTCGCTACTATTATTACATTGATTCAGGAAATGGTTATTGCTTGTCTGTGTGGAGAATGGCCCTGGAGACAGCCCATTGGTTCATAAAGCCTTCCTTTCTGCCCTAGATTGACTTTGATTTCCAGGTACTAGCTGCTCTTACTTCATTCCTGTCCCCATCAAGAAAGTTATATGCTTCTTGGGAGTTCAAAAACTGAAAATAAAGACAAGCCATAGCCTGGGAGAAAATATTTGCAAAGGATATAATCTTTGTTTCTAAACTTCATAAAGAAGTCTGAAAGGACAGTGAGAAAAAGACAACCTGATAGAACAGTAGCACAAACCCTGACTGACCGAGAAACAAATAAAATGAGTCTCCATAATAACTGGGAAAATGTTGAATCATGGATAGATACTGCCTCACAATTAACGGATGGACAGAAGTGTGGCAGACAACTCCCGTGCAGCTGCTGGTGTTGAAGATACACATGTCCACTTCAACCAGCGGTTCCAGGTCTGTGGGCATTCCCTGGAGGGAGCCTTGCCCGTCTGAAAACCAGGGAACTACTTGGAACAATCGTATTCATCAACAAGATACAGGATAAGAATAGAATGGAATCCTTTATAGGGATTAAAAAGGATTACTCACATATCAACGTGGATGCATTACAAAAATGCCACTTTGTATAAAAATAACATAGTACAGAATGATATGTCGATTATAACACACTATGTGTATAACATCTTAAAATATGTTAAGTAATGCTATATATTGCATATGGATGCGTGCAGGTGTTGATTACTGCTTTTAAAAGTTGACTTTAAGTCGGTGGATAATGAAAACTTCAAACTCAGGACAGTTCTTCCTCTAGTCCCAGGCAGGATGGGAGTGGAGAGGACTAAGCAGGAGGCGCCCACTCTGCCCGCCAGGGGTGTTTCATGTAGAAATGACATAATAAATAACTGGCTCGGAGAGAGCTGGCATTGGGTTGTACAGAAAGTCTTTATCATTATTAACTGGACTTTTGTACATATTTGAAATATAACACAGTAGCATTTTAACATAAAATATACAAATATAGGAGGCAAGCTTTAGTGCAATAATTTGAATATTTTCTAACATGACAGATGAGTTAAGCCAATTAGCTATGTAAAATATATAAATTATAGGGTTATTTGAATTATTGGATTCTTAATGATTTATGTTTTACCTCACTTGTTGCATAAGTCGATAGTGGTTTCAAATTTGGGTTTCAGAATGTACACATAACCATCTCAACTAATTAATAATAAACATCCGTGTGTGTGTGTGTGTGTGTGTGTGTGTGTGTGTGCTTGCGTGCATGTGTGTTTTCCAGGATCCAATGAGTTCCAGATACATAGAAGAATTGGGGAAAAGAGAGGTTACAATTCCTCCAAAGTACAGGGAACTTTTGGCTGTAAGTCAAATAATTACCTACTTTTTAAAAAATTACCTACTTGGCTCACTGCTTATTGTTTTAGAGTATAATTTTTAAAATCAAAACTACGTTTCCATAATTTGTTAAATTTATAAAATCTAATGGGGCACCTGAAGCTGTCATTATGTTCGCATGTGAAAGGTCATCATCACAATGCACTTTGATCATGGTGGGGAATAATGTTGAAAAATAGGTGCCTTCTTCACATCATTCAATTAATATTTGTTTCAGAAAACTGAAGGATTCAAGCCTCCTGCAGACTCTGGGGTAAGTTTACATAGCTGCTTTCTAAAGTCTAATAACATATTTTATATCTTTTTTCCCCAAAACCATTTTATTGGGAGCTAATCCAGATATTATGGTGTTCCGTAGTTCAATCACATCAAGTAGTACTGAACAATTGCTGCCATAATCGGTTTCAAAACATTCTCTTCCTTGTTGAACTCCTTGACATCAGCTCCTCTTTACCCCCCGCCCCACTCTACCCCCTCAGGCACCTTTATTCTACTTGCTGTCTCTATAGTTCATTAATCCTGGGTTTCATATAATGAAAAACAAAAAAACATAACAAATTCAAGAGGGTGACCCCAATGACATAGCACATCTCAGATAAACCCCAATAGGAACAGACAAAAACAGAATATACAGAAAAGGTTGAAAACCAGATCAGGCCTGAGGTGCAGCAGAGGGGCAATCAACCGACAAGGTTTAACTGTTCAAGGCAGGCTTATTCTTGTGATTTTCTACAGTCATCTCTCCAATGCACTGGTTTGGTAACCACTTTCCTCCCTTCCTTCTGTTAGGTCGAGGGAGATCGCCAGAGGCTTGTTTCCTGTGCAGTTTCCACAAGTGTATCTTGGGCTCTCACTGCCGTTCATAGCCTTCTGCAAACTGGATTCTCACAGTTTAGGCTCTGACACGATTCCCTCCTTTGACTTCAGATTCTATGATTTCCAGTCCTTCCATCACCAATGTTGGTGTGCTTCTTCCATGTGGACTTAGTTGACATCTCACTTAGATGGCTGCTTGTTTGGAGACAAGCCTTTAAGACCCCAGATACCATCTAATTTCTTCACCACATTTTGATATCTTTGAACAAACTATTGATTCTATATCCAAGTGAGACTAAATTCTATATTTCAATACATGAAATTTCTGTCTGTTCTGAGAAAGTAGGTGGGTGTGAAGGGTGTCTTAGTTTCATACAGAGTTTTGTTAGTGGGTAGAAGACTGGAGCAAAGAAAGCATTTGCATAAAACAAATATTAATAAAATTAGCATAAGAGCATCCTAGCACATGCAATACCTTCCAAAACACAAACTCACTGCCAACTCATACACATTGGGCTGCTAGCCACAAGGCAGCAGTTTAAAATCACCAGCACTCCTTTCCAGAAAGATGAGACTTTGTTGACACATAACCACCACCACCACCACCCCAGGGGAACGAACAACAGAAACCGGGGACAGAGGGAGACAGTGGTCAGTATAAGATAGGAAAATAGTAATTTATCAAGGGATCATGGAGGTGGAGAGGGGAGGGGAAACAGGAGCTGACATCAAGGGTTCAATAGAAAGTAAAAGTTTAGAAAAGAATGATGGCAACATATGTACAAATATGCTTGATATAATTTATCTATGGATTGTTATGAGCTGTAAAAGCCCTCAATAAAATGATCTCTTAATGAAAAAAATTTTTTGTAGTCTCAGAAACCCATAGGGACAATTCAACCCTGTCCTACCTATTGGGTCACTATAAAACCCAATGCCTTAGAAGAGGGGAAAGGAAAAATAATGCTTAGTGAATAGCCACTCCTTTCCAAACACTGGAAACCTGGTGGCATAAGCTTTATATGCTGGGCTGCTAACTGCAAGGTCAGCAGTTCACATCCACCAGCTGCTCCTTGGGAGAAAAATGGGGCTTTCTACTCCTGAGAACTGTTGAAGCTTCAGAGAGCCGTAGGGGCAGTTCTGCCCTGTCCTGTAGGGTCCCCATGAGTTGGAATGGACACAACGACAGTGAGTTTGCTTTTTGAGTTTCTGAACAATGGGCTTTTATCTGACTTCTCCCATGAGCATATCTGGTTTGGTAATTCAGGATTGTGAAAGTCAGTGCATTCTTCACTGGCTGGGCTTAGAACCTGTTCTTGCACTTGAATGATTCCTGAGTCTTACAGTCCCTGTGCCTATGTCTTTAGAAACCCATGGGGCCCGAAGATGCCATAGACGCCCTGTCATCCGACTTCACCTGCAGCTCCCCTACCGCTGGTGGGAAAACGGCTGAGAAAGAGGTATTGCCTTCAGTGTCTCAGTTGAGAGCACGGGTGATTGGGTGGTGTGGAGCATCGCAGAACCCGCTGATTTCAGTTGTGATGATTAGAGATCCATATTTTTCATGTATATCTGATCGTTTGCATTTTATCATTCAGGAACCCACAGGAGAGGTTTTGAAAGCACAATCAGCCGGGGTAATCAAAAGTGCTGCTCCGCCCCACGAGAAGAAGAGAAAGGTGGAGGAGGTATGTAAGCGTCTCGCTTCCCTGGGCAGGAGTTGCTCTCCTGAGGCAGGTCTGGCTTCTTCGGGCCATCCCACAGGCCACACTGCAAACGATGGGGGAGCATCTTCTCTGTGCGACAGAGAGCCCTGTGAGGGGCCTGCAGACCATCTGTCAGCGGGCCTGGTGTGTGTCAGTAAAGGCTCAGCAGTCTGTCAGCACAGTGTTTCTGGTGGTGAAACAGGACTGTCTCATGATACTGTCTGTGTCTTCTAATTAAGGTGACCAGATTTTAACATTTGGTAAAGCGGGGGGAAAAAGCAGGACACCATTGATAAAACTCATATCCTGGCGAAATAGCCACATGGCAGCCGAAAACCGTATACCCTAGCTTGTCGTGCATTCTTTCCA